GTTGGTCTTGAGAGCGCCCAGCACCAGCGGATGAGCCATCCGGATCGTCGCGTCCTCCCCCTCCGCCCCTTCAGTACCGAACACACTCTTGAGCGCGCCCAGCTCGATGGGATCGCCCAGAGCGGTGCCCGTGCCGTGCGTCTCGATGTACGACACGTCAGAGGGCGACAGGCTGGCCTGAGCCAAGGTCGATCGAAGCACCTCTTGCTGCGCAGGGCCGTTAGGAGCTATCAGGCTGGCGCTCCGCCCATCGTGGTTGACGGCACACCCGACAATGGTCGCCAGCGCTTGTTGGCTGCGGTTGCCAAGGTCGCTCGCTCGGCGCAGCACCACTGCTCCGGCGCCTTCGCCCCTGACGTAGCCGTTGGCCTTGGCGTCGAACGTCTTGCACTTGCAGTCGGGGGCGAGCATCCGTGATTTTGAGAAACTGAGGAAATGGATGGGCGCAAGCATCAGACTAACTCCCCCAACAAGCGCTCCATCGCATTCGCCCAACTTATAGTTCTTGACGGCCGAGTCGAGGGCGACGAGTGACGAGGAGCAGGCCGTGTCGAGTGTCATGCTGGGGCCCTTGAGGCCGAAGACGTAAGAGACTCGGTTAGCGATTACGCTCCCAGCGCCTCCGGTGGATGCAAAGGGGCTGTGCTTCTCGGTGATGTTGATGTAGAGCCAGTCGTAGTTACAGGCTCCAACGAACACACCAAGTCGCTGTCCGAGGAGCTGCTCCCGGTTCATGCCCGCACTGTGGAAGGCCTCGTAGCCAACCTCAAGAATCAGCCGCTGCTGGGGGTCCATCATGAGCACTTCCGCAGGGCTGATGTTGAAGAAGCCGTTATCGAATTGGTCGATTCGGGTCATGAATCCAGCTTCACGTACATAGCATTTCCGGGATTCATCTGGATCTGGATTGTAGAAGGTGTCGGGATTGAATCGATCCAGCGGCACCTCCTTCACTCCCGTCCTGGCCTCCATGAGCATTGACCACATATCCATGGGGGACATCACACCGCCGGGCAGGCGGCATGACATCCCGGTTACACACAATCGATCGCCAGCATCGAAGGACATCATACCACTCCGCAGTGCGCTCGTGGCGGCCGGGCCCGACTCAACACCGCCGCGCAGCTCCTTGACGATGAAGTCGATAAGCGCGTTGAGCGTCGGGTAGTCGAACAAGGCCGTCGCAGGAAGCTTGACATCGAGACGGGCTTGTAACGCATTGCGAAACTCGACGGCGCCCAGTGAGTCGATGCCGAGATCTTGCAGCGGTGAATCAAGGGGCGGCATCTCTGAAGAACCGAGTGACTGTGATGCACACTCAACGACGACTCCCATCACGTGCTCTCGAAGCTGCTCGGCAGTCATGTTACGAAGGGCGAGTGCTGCCTCCTTGTTGGCCGAAGAGTCCTCTCTCGGGGTGACATCTTGCAGGAATGACGGTGGGCCATCGTCATACCGTCGCAGGAAGACTGGCCACTTGATGCCTTGGCACCCGACGACCAGGCATTCTGACGATGCCTTCATGACGTCGCCTAGTACCCTGATGCCGAGGTCGTTTGTGATTCCGGTCATGCCGGACTTGTTGATGAGCTCCTTCATCTCTGGCGTTGAAGCCATGCCCTGCTCGATCCACGGGCCCCACTGGATGGACTGGCCGCTCAGCCCACTCGACCGCCGGTATCGCGCCAGGGCGTCAAGACAGGCGTTCGCGGCCGAGTAGTTGGTCTGGCCGAAGTTGCCCAAGAGGGCCGCGACGGACGAGAACATAACGAAATGATCCAGCTGCTCCGTCACGCCATGCAGATGCCACGCACCGAACACCTGAGTCAATCAGTCAGTACAGAATACACAACGACCAAACACATACATATTGAGCGACTGATTGATTGTCCTGCTTTGTCTGTCTGTCTGTCTGTCTGTTGCTTGGCTGAGCTTGGCGTGATTGACCTGCCTGCCTCACTGGCTCGCTGACGTACCTTTGGCTGATAGACTTTGTTGATGTGTTGCTTGGTCTGCTTGGCCAGCAGGGCGTCCTCGAGGACACCGGCCGCGTGGAAGATGCCCTTGACGGGGTGATCGGGCATTCTCTTGTTGAGGTCTGCCATGAGCTGCTCGCAGGCCTCTCGCTTGGACACATCGCACGCCATGCAGTGCACCTCGACCGACGAAGACGGGTAGGTGTCCTCGGAGGCCTGGAAGGCCTGCAGCCGCTGCCAGGGGGCTGATGACTTGACGTCGTCGGTCGGTGAGCCACGGCGGGACAGCAGCACGATGCGCTTGGCGCCCTCCTCGACCAGCCAGTCAGCGACCAGCAGCCCCAGCCCGCCCAGACCGCCCGTGATGACGTAGCACCCTGTCGACGCGTCCTTGTCGTCATGACTACTGACGTCCCTCGTCTTGGTCGTCGCCGCCTCGCCAGTCTTGTCGTCCTTGGCTTTGCTGTCGTCAGGCTTGTCTGCATGGCTGCTGTCGACAGTGGCGGGGGAGCACTTGGGTCCCTCGAGGGCGCTGGGCACCTGCACGATGACCTTACCGATGTGCTGCGCCCGCTGCATGAAGCGGAAGGCCGCGATGCCGCCGGTGGTGTTGTCGGAGCTGCTCATGTCGAAGACGCGCAGGGGCAGCGGCACCACCTCTCGTGCGTTGGCCATCAGCCGGACCCGCTCGAGCATCGAGCCGAACCACGCCGGCTCCTCCTCCATCATGTGGTCCACGGCGATCCTCTTGTACAAGACGTCGGGCCGCCTCTCTTTCATCTCGTCCTCCGACCAGGTGCCCCGCTTGCCCAGCTCCATGAAGCGGCCGTTGGGTGCCAGGAGGTCAAGGGAGAAGGGAATGAAGTCCTCGATCAGGCAGTTGAGGACCACATCGATCTTGCCATTGGGGCCCAGGAACCCCTCCATGTCCTCCTTGAACTGCTTGGCGTTGCGAGAGCTCGTGATGTACTGGACGCCCTCCTTGTCTCTCAGGTAATCCTCTTTGGGCTTGCTCCCCACCGTCCCGTACACGGTCGCACCGACCGACCGACAGAACTGGATGGCCGCCAGCCCCACGCCTCCCGACGCCGCGTGGATGAGCACCTTGTCGCCTTTGTGGACCTTGGCCAGCTCTCTCAAGGCGACTTCGACGGTGACGAAGACGACTGGCAGCGCTGCGGCTTGCTCGAACGACATGGTCACCGGCTTGATGGCCATCAAGTGGGCATCCGTGGCCACATACGTCCGCAGACACCCTGGCGCAACACCGTACACATCATCGCCCACACTCAGATGCGTCACACCGGCTCCAACACTCACGACCGTCCCCGAGCAATCGCCGCCAGGCGGACCCGGGTCGCCAGGATATAAACCCATCACGTTCAACACGTCCCGGAAATTCAATCCAACCGCACGCACACGGATGATGACGCACCCCGCAGGCAGCTGCTCCCTGTTGAAGGGCGCGGAGGCCCTGAGGCGAAGGTTGCTGAGAGCTCCTCTCTCCTCCATATGGAGCTCCATTGCACCCTTGACGTCGAGGTTGGCCTTGGAGAGGCGTGTGTGGTACACGGACACTTCATTCGTGTCGGTCGACAGTCGAAGTGCCACCTCAGGGTCGAAGACGAGGCTCTTGCGTTTTAAGAGATGGCCAAGTTGTGCAAATAGGCCGTCCATGCTCCCTCCGGGCGGGGGATCCAGGTCCACACATCCAATCTTCACGGGCCTGCCAAGGGAGGCCTCCAGCTCCAGTCGGGCGCTCTTGGCAAAGCCCCACAGGCCGGCATGTGCAGGGAAGACAGAGAGGACCTCCGACGGCACCGGCCGCGTCACTCCCCTTGTGGCCAGCCAGAGGGGCGCCATGTGCTCCTTTCCACTCCCAAAGAGAGAATTGACGAGCCGACGAGCATCATCAATTGCTGCGACAACAGCTGTCGCAGATGCAGCTGTATCATTGAGAGCCCCCAGGTAGACAATGGCGTCGACCCGTGATGCCGTCTCCTCCGACTCGAGCATCTGTTGCAGCTCCTCCTCTGCGACTGCCTTGGATTCCGTCGAGAAACCCGCCTCCGCCACAAGAGTGGAAAGCTCTTGATCGAAGTTGTCAGGTGCAGCAAGGAAGAGGACCCGCGGCTTCACCTCGGTCACAGCCTCACCGCTGTCCTCCACCGCCTGTGACTTGTCTGCCTTGCGCCAGCAAACTTCCCAGAGCAGTTGGCTGGGGATGGTGGCAGTGGCTGTCAGGATCATCTGTCGGAGATGCATGCCGAGAAGGATTGCGACCGGGCGTCCCTCCCCATCCTGAAGTGTGATGTCGATCTTGGCGGAGCGGTCGTCTCGACTCTTGAGTTTGACGTGGCTCCACACATCAAGTTGCTGATCCCCAGATGTCACCACGAAGGCCTTCTCGACACCAACCGGAACCAATGGCGCCTCGAGTTTGCCTTTTGCCTCTCTTGCAAGGATGCCTGCTGCGCACTGGATTGCCCCATCAAGCAAGGCGGGATGCACACAGAACGCCTCCTCAAAGTCTTCTTTGGACGCGACCTTCACGTGGCCCAAAGCTTCACCATCGCCAACAGCCAGTTCAGCGACGGTCTGGAACTTCGGGCCGTATTCCAGACCGATGGATCGGAGGCCGCTGTAGAAGTCTGCCACGTCCACCTTGTCGCTGCACCTGTCCTGGAGGACAGTTCTGCTCTCGACGAGAGACGTGTCGATCTCGTCAGGGGTCGCAAATGAAGCGACGCACCGACCAGTGCAGTTGAGCTGGAAGTCGTCATCGTTGGCATCCTTTGATCGGATCTCTATGGCGGACGGGCTTGTGTCGCGGCTGGGATGATCCTTCTCGGTGACAAACTGGACAGTCGGCATCGTGGTCCAGTCACCCTGCCTCTCATTCTCGACTGGCGGGATCATCAGCGGTTTCTCGAAGCTTATGTCCTCGAAGTGCAGAGCAGCAGCGGTTCTCTTCCTCGTCTCGACGGGTCTCCGGACGCCGAAGAAGGTCAGACCCTCGTGAATTGTGATGCCAATCGCAGTCAGCATGTCAATGAAGCCTGCTCCAGGCATGACGGCCTGCCCTGACACGGCGTGGTCACGAAGCAGACTTGCCACGTCACGACGAACGATCGTAGTTACGGTCGCCCCGCTCTCCAGCCGGTCCACGCAGCCAATACTCGGGTGTGCGACATGGGCCCATGGAAACCTCGAGTGTTTCCATACGTGCGCCTCGTGAACCTCAGGCGGTGCTGCCGTCATGAGAGAAACCGCGTCCTCGAATGAACCCAAGATGTCCTTCGAGCCGGGATTCAATGGCGACAGCCAATCCAGAGTGGTCCCAGGAGAAACGTCCTTAATGCACTGTTTGCCCATGTTGATCAGGGTGGGTTTGGGTCCGACTTCGATGAGTACTCTTGCGCCGGCCTGCTGTATGGTGGTCTGCATGCCGTCGAGGAAGCGGACCGGC